CGGAATCCTTCGAAGTAAAGACAGGATTAAGACAAGGCTGCGTAGCATCGCCTATGATCTTCCTGATTGCTGTAGATTGGATAATACGACAAACAGCGGGCAATGAGGAAACAAGCATAAAATGGACCCTCACGAAAAACCTGGCGGATCTGGACTTCGCCAATGGCATATGTCTGATTTCCCACAAACTGGAAGATATGCAAGTGGAAAGCAACAAGTTGGCAGAAGAAGCATCGAAGATAGGACTTCAAGTGAACATAGATAGAACAGAGGTGATGAAGATTCCTAGCCAACATCAACAGCAACAACAACAACAATCAGCATAAATGGGGAGAACCTGAAAGAAACACCCTCCTTCACCTACCTAGGAAGCATCGTTTCAACTACGGGCGAACGGAACTGACGAGGATATCAAAGCAAGGAAAGCTTTCATGTCTCTCAAGTCTGTGTGGAGGTCAACAGCACTACTCAGCATGAAAACGAATATAAGATCCGGATTTTCGACTCCAATGTGAAGTCAGTGCTACTTACCATACGGATCAGAGACTTGGCGCGTCATAAATAGCATCTCAAACAAACTTCAGACCTTCATTAACAGCTGTCTTCGCTCAATACTCAAGATCAGATGGCCAGAAAGGTCAACAACAGCGATCTCTGGCAGCGAACCAATCAGGAACCGATTGTGAAACAAATATGCAGGAAGAAATGGAGATGGATTGGCCATACTCTGAGGAAACCAGCAAGTGACATCACTAGACAAGCCCTCGAAGGGAATCCAAAAGGGAGGCGGCGAGTTGGTCGTCCAAGGGTGACTTGGAGGAGGTCATGCGAGGAGGAGATGAAAGCATGTGGGCAGACTTGGAGCGAGGTGAAAAGTTGTCAGAAAACAGAAGGCAATGGAGGTGCGCAGCTGAAGCCCTATGTTCCTCTAGGAACTAAAGGATACAATAATAATAATAATAATAATAATAATAATAATAATAATAATAATAATAGACAATCATTGAAAAAAGCGGAGAGTTCTAGACAGCTATTTCGTCCTGGCTTGGGGGTTCATAAGCAGAACGAATCTACCGGATTTGGAACTCAGGACTTTCAGGTTACTGACAATAGTACAAAGCTTGTAAAGTCAATTAATGAGATAAAAGGTTTTAAACGGCGATATCTTCTTTTCATTCTTTCATACTGAATACCACACATTTTATTAACGCGGCTAACAGTACTGTTATTATTATTACTATTATTTCCTTTGTGTGATTTTTGTTTAAATATATAAATCTGGCACTATTCTAAAATAATTGTAACTTAAAACAAAATGTAACAAAGGAATAACTGAGAGAAGGTGATAGCTTGAAAAGATGCATCCAATAAGCCTTTATTAATTTTAATGCCTTGGGTTTTGTGAAGTCAAAGATATCAGGAGGGTATAAGAAAATCACTAGGGATTTCTGTTGTTGGTCCGAAACTAATACCACAACTGCATCACATGAACTCATCAGACTTTGGTATTGGTATCAGTGAGTGACAACACAACAGTGTGTAGGACCCCTACGTTGTAGTTTCATCAAATGTTGTGTTATTCATCATATTTCTATTCCCAACCTATCGCAGTGTTAAACGGTCACTAGTGTCATAATTCATGCAGTGGCATGTGTAAGACGTCCTGATTAGCGGAGTTTTCTGTGTCAATGATAACCATGTCCAGACATGTCTAGCCGAACTGTATAAATTCCCATGCTGCACAGTTTTAAAAAGAAGCGAAGTCAATTCTGAAAAGCTAGGTGTCACTGACTGAGTGGTTGATTGAAAAGGAACTGACTATGATGACTTGTTAGACACTAAATCATTTGAAACCATGCAAGCATTGATATACCGTTACGATTGTTCAGCCTTAGCACACTTCCGAAGACTGGCTAGTTTCAACATAGAACTGTTCACAGAAGTGCATCATGTTACCACACAAAGGGAGAAAAAGCGATTCGAAAGAACCATAATAAGCAGAAATGTATGGGAGAAAAAAAATTGTATGATGAATATGAGAGATCAGAAAGAGTGAATGCATCTTCGCCATTGAGAACGATTTCGAGCGGTATCACCAGTTGCCTCCAGCCGTTGATTCTTAGGATATGCAGGATTCCAAAGAGGAAGCCAACACTTCCATTAGTGTGTGTGTGTGGCTCAAACTAACTATCAAAGCATTCATGGACTGATTCCTTGTTTTAGTTTGACCATCGATAGCTCTTTTCTAACCTGATCCTTTACAGCAACATTCCCCGTTGAGGAAGGTGGTAGCTAGGTATGCTTAATACATGTCATAACCATCTCAATCGATTTAGCTCCACAACCCCTCACCAATTGATACCCCCCTCCTTAACCAACAATTTATGCCTAACCTTAATGTTACTCCCCTATACATTTCTAAAGAAATGTGATTATTGAATAGCTATACCCACCTATGTATTCACACAGGAATATGTAGGTGTATCAACTTTTCGACTGGTTTCAAACACTTACCACTAAATAATCGCAAATATCTTTTCATTTAGACTTTTTTTATAACTGGATAACACAAAGCACGAACATTGCTTATTTTCCATTTATGCGGGCATATTTACTGATTGCATTTTCTTTTTCTTAATTGATTAAGTGTTTCATTAACTGAACTACTACATGACTTACAACAAACCAGTCGTCAAATTGAAACTGGCCTCATTTAATTCGAGTGTATTAGTGACTCAGTGGTAGAATGTTGACCAACCAAGCACGTGATCTGTGATTCGATTCCCAGTCGACGCACCCTTAAACCTTGCTTACCTGGAATCAAGCCCAGTAGAGAAAAAAGGTTGTTTGCGTGTGCATGTGTGTGAGCCTAGACTTGTGAAAATAAGAGAAGAATAAAACCACTGCGACTTTCAAAGAAACAGGAGTTGCAGTTACGCCACAAGCCAAGTTCAATACTCAAAAGCTGAAGGACCAGGCTACAAAGGACATCTTCATTGCAAACATAAGGGAAAAAGCCGAGACACAAATCAACACCAGCGAAAAGGTCAGCGTCGAAAAGCACTGGAACAACTTGAGAACGATGTGGAGTCAAACCTGCATGGAAGTTCTAGGCAGGAAGAAGAGACAGGACAAACAGTGGCTCACTACGGACACTTGGAAACTAATAGAAGAGAGAAGGACAGTGAAACAAGAGATTATACAGTGCACTGACGAGCAACAAAAACAGGAGCTGAATGCAAGCTACAATACACTGAACAAAAGAGTGAAGAAGAGTGCCAGGGAAAACAAAAGAAAATATCATGAAACCATAGCAAACGAAGCAGAACAAGCTGCAGGCAAAGGAGACCTCACCGCACCCTACCAAACAACTAGGCACTTTTCGGGCAAAAGTTCGACACAGATTAAGCCAATAAAGGACGACAATGGAAAGTCAATCACCAAAGAGGTAGAGCAAAGGAAGCACTGGGCTGAACACTTCGAAAGATTTCTAAATCGACCGCCACCTACAACACGCCCAACAATACCAACAACGGAAGCAGAACTACCAGTGAACATTGACCCCCCGACGAGAACAGAAGTCCTGAAGGCCATAAACATGCTAACAACTATAAAAGCAACAGGACCAGAAGCATTAATAATGGACCCAGAGATATCAACGGACTCGATGACACCACTACTGGAGAAGGTGTGGAAATTAGGGCAAGGTACCTGCGGACTGGAAGAAAGGCTACTTATTTAAACTGCCAAAGGAAGCAGACTTAAGTCAATGCTAGAACTGGAGCAGCATTATGCTCCTGTCTATCCCAACATCTATCTACCATATTGGATGGTACTACCATGGGTTGAGTAGGATTGAGGTTAGTCGTTGAGTGTTGGATAATGAGCGAAAGTCAATCGATAACGTTGTAAAGCTACGTCGATCAAGATGACCAGGACATGTCCTACGCATTCCTAACCTACACCTCCCTCCACGAAGAATGTTAACTGGGATAAGATCAAATTAGAAAAGAGCTCATGGTGGTCAAACAACAACTTGGAATCAGCCCATGAAATCTTTGACAGTTAGTTTGTGTGTAGACTGGTTGGATGAGATCCTCTGGATTCCAAGGAAAAAATTGGTGGAGACAGCTGGTGATATAGCTGAAAAATGTTCTGAATGACGAAGATACATTTATTCCTTGTGATCTACCATATCGATTAAGTCCTGTTGTGGTTGCATATTGCTATTCATGCTCCTTTACATTTCTGCTTATTGTCGTTCTTTTCAATCTTTCCTCTCTCTCTGCCTCGGTGGCACAGTGGTTAGGACTTTCGCCGACCATGCACATGGTTCGAACCACTGCTGATATCTATGGTTGGCCCGCAAGATTTCAGCTACCGATATCCATGCTGAAAATCCCATGTGTACCAAAAATACAGTGTGGAATCAAGCTGTAATCAAAAAAATTTGTCTTTTTTGTGGGCTATATGGAGTGTGGCACCTCGAATTGCTGCACATCTGTGCAAGGTTGTCTCTTGAAGGCATTACTTATTCTAGGTTTAGGAGTTATGTACAGTGTAAAAATACACGGAGTTCTTACTTTTCGCACTTTTTATTCATCACACGGCTGGTTATGTTGTGCGTCGGTAGTTCAGTGGTAGAATGCTCGTCAACCGTGCAAATGGTGCAGGGTTCGATTCCCTGCTGACACATCCCTAAAGCTTGCCTAGTTGGTAGTGAAGCTGCTAAAGAGGGAAGGTTGAATGTGAGACTAGCAACCCCGCTCTACGTAAAAAAAACACCACTGCTACTGAAACTTAAAGCCCTATATTCCACTCGGAAAGTAAATGAATAAAATAAGTAATAATAAATTATACTATATAATAGTTATCAGTTGTGTCTCCTTTATAGTCTGTATCTGAATTGTGATAAAACTACTACCACTACTGTTATTTTATTGTGTCATAATAATCAAATCCACTTCATTTACTTTGTTTTGTAGACTCTCGATTTCTATATGTCAAACGCTACAACTGTTCGGACTGTATGCAGAGTTATACGTAATATTGTCTCAAGATCACCAGAACTACGAGCTTCCTTTTTAAAATTAGAATGTGGAACAGGTGATACTGATCTAGAAAAATTATTGAATTTAGCCCTGAAAAACTCGTCTTGTTGTGATCAAGCTAAAGCAGCTCTTTGTGATCTGAAATGTACAGTTGAACTTCAAGAACCTTGGAAAGGATCTCTGAAGTCTGTTACGTAGGATAGATTGCATTTGATTTTGTTTTATAAACATTTTTAATGAAATACCAATGAATTACTGACTTGATTTGTAAATTTCTTTACTGTCAAAAAATAAATAAATTGTGACTAAGTTGTTTTTCACTGAACCTTAATCTACATTTCGCTTGAATTGTTTCGGTCAGGAACAATACAACTGTTTCTGTAGGTATTCGTTCTGTTAATGGTCACTTTTATTCATAACATCAGGAAGTGATCTCCTGCTGTTGCAAAGTTGCAGGCTCAATAATCATTCTTGTTGCTCGGGAGAAACAAATGAGAGAAAACCGGACAGACTTCAGACAAGGAATATGGTGAATGGATTATATCTTCGCACTTTGACAGATTCTGAAACATAGCTATATTTACCGGCGCCCAACAATTGCCATATATCTTCAGTTGAAGGTGGGATTCCACTCCGTCGAATGAGGCATACTATAACAACATTTGGTCATGAAGGGATTAGCGAGAAAGTTCATCGCACTTATCAAGGCACTCACCCTACTCGACCTCACGCCTTCGTGTAAGAGCTAACGGATAGTTATCATCTAAAGTGATTATTTTATGATTATTATTGTTCCCTTGGGTTCCTAGTGGAACATAGGGTTTCAACTGCACGTCTCCACTTGCTTCTGTCTTCCTTCTGTTGTACTTTTCACCTGCATCCATGTTAGTCCATACTCTTTCAACTCCTCTTCACATGATCTCCCCTATATCATCCTTGCACTGACGTATCACTCGCCGCTTCCACTCGAGCTATTGCGCGATGTAACCCAGCAGCCTCCTCAGCGAGTGTCCCATCCATCTCCACTTTCTTCTGCATATTTGTTGGCCGATTGATTCTTGTTTTGTTTTCTCCCATAGTTTCTTGTTGGTGGTTCTTTCCAGCCCGACCATCTGATCTTCAGCATAGAGCGAAGATAGATTGTTGGTGAAGGCCTGCAACAGCCCGTTGGAAATATTCTTTGTGACCCACCCGCCAAGTTTCTGATCCGTATAGAAGAACTGACTTTACGTTTGTATTGAAAATCCGACTGGGTTTTGTTGTTGATGCTGGCTGAGTGACGAAGATTCCCAGATTGGTTTCAGGTTGATGAATGCGTTTCTCACCTTCCCGATTCTCGATTTGACGTCGTCGTCCGTTCCTCCTGTAGTTGAGACAATCCTTCCTAGATAAGTGAATGAAGTAACCTCTTTCAAATCTCTCCCATTGATGGTGATTGGCTCTGGATGTTGCTGTTGTTGTTCTTGGTGGTGGCTGGTTATTTTCATAACCTCCGTCTTGTCTATGTTCACCTGGAGTCCTGTCTTCACCGGCTGCTTCTTTGACCAGTTTGTCAGTTTTCGTTCGATTTTGTGTGACATCAAACATAAGTCATCCAACCCGCGGAATCCAGGTCTTTAAGGTTCTTCACGTCGGTCCAGGATATCACTGTCTTCTCGTTTCTCACTGTCTGACGCATAATCCAGTCCGCCACAATTACGAACATCATTGGTGATAGTTATTAAGCACCCTTGTCTGACTCCTGTGTTTACTCCAAACGCCTCGCCGAGTGAGTTTTCCGTTGTGGATCACTTGACATGTGCCGTTGTCGTACTGCTGTTGAATAAGGTTGATGAATATTTGGGGTACGCCGTAGTACTCGAGTAATTTCCAAATTACTTCACGATCAACGCTGTCGAAGGCCTTCTCAAAGTCTATAAAGTTGAGGTACAGGTTTGATTGTCATTCCATGCTTTCTTCGATGATGATGCGTAGAGTTGCAATTTGGTTAGAACATGATTCGCCTTTCCTGAATCCAACTTGTTCTGGTCAGAGTTTTATATCCAGTGCATCCTTTAATCTCTCCAGGATGATCCGACTCAGGATTTTACTTGGCGTCGACAGGAGCATGATTCCTCGCCAGTTCTTGCAGAGTGAGGCATAAGTCGCCCTTCTTTGGTAGTTTCACGAGGTAACCTTTCCTCCAGTCAGTAGGCACCTTTCCCTCCTTCCAGACCTTTTGCAATAATGGAGTCAGCATGTCTGCTGTAGTCTCTGGGTCTGCTTTCAGTGCTTTAGGGGGTATTCCATCTGGTCCGGCTGCTTTCCCAGCTTTCAGAAGCTTGATTGCATTCAAGACTTCAGCTCTCGTTGGAGGGTTGTGATATGTATCCACATATATATATTTATGTGTGTGTGTGCATGTTGGTCTCTCTTTCTGTTTGCTCGGTTAGTCTGTGACCACTTCACATGTATGGACTTGTCTCCTTTAACAATGTGTATTCTCCTTATATTATATTATATATAATATGAGTGTTTGTTGACAGTCCGTTGCTTGGTGACATTTATCCATATATGTTTGTTGGCATGTCTGCTATATTCGCTATGTATAATTGGATCGACACTCCATTATAATTAGCCATTCATGTTAAGACTGTCTAATGATTTTTCCCACGCTTCTCTGAATTATTGATATATATTCGCATTCACAATTTGTGTGAACTACTTTACTTTACAACTACTTGACTTGCTTACCACTTTGGTGTGAGACCATTTATTTTCGTCTCCTTGTGTTTGGACAATAGAAGTATCATCGCAAACCTAGTGGTCTTCTGATTTCCGCCTTCTCGCGTCAGGACTATTAATTTCTCGACCAGTCCATAACAATAATTTAGCGACGAGTACATAACAGGTTGGTGTCGACTTGGAGTTGTGTACGTGGTATTGTTGGTATTTCTGGATGGGTTGCAGGTGGTGGTCGGTTCAGTAGTCCTTTGAAGGGATCCGCCCATTGTTTAATCTGTTTTTCTTCCTTGGTAATTGGGTTCCCTTGGCTGTCTTTTATAGGTTTCATTCGTGTTGATCTCCTTCTAGATGGAGACTTGCTTATCTGATATAATGAACTCAGATCAATATTTCCAGCTGCCTTCCCAGGTTCAGTGGCCACATTATCCTAGAATTGTATCTTGTCCTTCCTAGCACTCTTCTTCACTTCTTCGTCAAGTGCTGTGTAAGTTGAACTCAGCGTCTCTTTCTCTTGTCCGTCTTTGCATTGAATCATTTTCTCTTTCACCATTCTCCTATCCTCTATGAGCTTCCAAGTGTCCATTGAGAGTCATTCCTTGTCTTGTCTCTTCTTTCTTCCTAAAATCGTTGAACACGTTTCGTTGAGAACCGCCTTCGGAGACTTCCAGTGTTCTTCCACGTATGATTCTTCAGTGATGTCGCGTAGTGTTTCCTGCTTTGCTCTGACAGTTGCAGTGAAAGTGTCCTTTGTGGTTGTGTCCTTCAGTAATTGAGTGTTGAACTTGCATTGTGGCCTATCCCCAGCTATCCTCGAGGCTTTTAGTTTCATCTTGAAAGTCCCTTCTACTAGATAGTGGTATGAACTCATATCTGCTCGTCTCCTTGACCTTGTGTTCAGTAGGCTCCGTCTCCACTTCCTTGAGATTGAAATGAAGTTTATCTGGTTTTTGGTGTGTCCATCTGGTGAAGTCCATGTCGCCTTGTGTATGTCTTTGTGTTTGAACACACTGCCACCAATCACCAAATCATTGAAGGCTCAGAAGTCTGAGAAGAGTTCACTATTGCTGTTCATTTCATCAAGGGCCTCTCGACCCATGGTGAGTTCTCTTCCTGTGTTGTCTCCTCCCAGTTTCGCATTCATATCACCCATCAGGATTTTGATATCGCCATTTGGGACGTTGTCCATTATTTTTTGTAGTTGTCTGTAGAACGCCTCCTTCTTCTCTTCTTCTGAGACGTTTGTAGGCGCATAACATTGAATGACTGTAATTTTCCTTCCTTTTGAGTTGAACCTGGCTGTCATTATCCTGGAGGAGATTGGTTTCCACTAGATGAGAGCTTTGGCTGCTGTTGGTGACCTCCTAATGGCCACCACCTCGGTGTGCTCGTCATTGTCCTCTGGGTGACCGGAATAGATTATTGTCTCACCGGTTGATAGTTGGCAGCTTCCACATCTGTTCCATCTGCTCTCCACCTGCATCATTGGCGTAGATGTGACAGCCGGCTGGCTATTGTGGAAGGAAGTATGTACTGCAAAACACTTCGCTCCGTCCTCATTTGCGGATATGAGACACAGCCATGGAGAGGGGGAGATATGAAACCCCTGGCTAGCTGTCTTTGATAATAGGCATCTGCGTTCTATCTCTAGTGTTGGGTAGTATAATAGGGTGAGAAATATTGAGGTTAGGCGTCGAAAGTTAGGTAAAGAAGGAAAGTTCATCAACGAGATTGTGAAGCTACATCAACTGAGATGGCCAGGCGTGCGTACCACATGTCCTAGCCATAGGCTTCCTCGACGGGAAATGTTAGCTGGCATAGAGTCAGTTTAGAGGAAAGCTAGTGGTTGTCAAATCAAAGCATGAAATCTTCTAACAGTTAGTTTGAACCAGTCACGTGGTGAGATGTAGGCTTTCTGGTTAATGTCTTCGAGATTCTAAGAACCAATAGCTGGAGACAGTTGGTCATATGACCCGAAATCGTTGTCAATCGCGCAGATGCATTCACTCTTTGTCATTTCTCATATCCTGTAAACCCTTAGGTTTTTACATGTCAGTATTCCTTCTCCCTCACATTTTTCCCTATTACCGTTCTTCTGGATCTCCTTTGTGAGGTGTATGTGGAGTATGACAACTCGAAGTACTGCATTTCCATACAAGGATCTGCATTGAAACGAGTGCGTCAGACGCACTGCTGTCCTAGGAATTAATGTCACAATATAGTATATATGCTTTCAGAGGATATACTATCTGTTATGTACTCGTCGCCAAATTATTGTTATGTACTGGTCGAGAATTTAATAGTCCTGACGCAAGAAGGCGGAAATCAGAAGACCACTAGGTTTGCGATGATACTTCTATTTTCCAAACACAAGGAGAAGCAATAAGTGGTATCACACAAAAGTGTGTCACACAAGATTGTGTCAGCGAAATATATATGAATGTCCAGACAAGTGTGTGAACAA